GAGAGGTTTTTGGCAATTATCATTCAGTGATATAGTATTCAGTATTGAAGGAGCTTACTGTTATTAAATACAAGTGTAACATTTCATAATTCTGAGAACAGAAAGACAACATTGTAACTAACAGTATCTAATTGAAGTATAGTTCAAGAATGTTATGAAACATTATCTGACATATGACGTCACGATAACAGTATTTCATGACCTTAATGCAACGAAGTCTAAAAGCTAAAACAGAAATATTTTCAGAAATACTGAGGAAACTAGATGTAAGCTTAAAAACAGGGATGTTATACATGCACCACTACGCGACAAGAGAGCTGTGAACTGCTGAATGCGAAGTAGCCAGTTCAAATGCTCTGTTTATATTTTATTCTGCGACTGGGCAAACTAAAGCGCACTCAAAGAGCACACATCTACTCGCGCTCGTACATGCGACTAACTCACGAGCGCTAATGCTCAGCATCCGGAGGAAAAGCCGAACGCAGCATCAGCTGGGACCAAAGGCTGACAGCCACCAGACCAACGAACGTTGGCGAATGCGTGCAAGATACAAGCCGAGATGAAACGAAAGCCAACTGTGTTGGCCAATATACAAATAGGCTGCTCAATCAGGACAGCTGGAGCAGCTACTCAGCACATTTGACACTTCAGTCAGTTCATAAACTTGAAACAGTGTAGTAAATGAAGACGGAGACTGTGTGTGCATGCCACAAAAAGGGCGAGATATAAGTGAAAATGCAAAAGAATAAAATTATATTACCACATGCAGTGAAAAATCGAAAATTTCATAACCTGTCGATGTGATGTGAAGAGCCGTGTTATCCATGCGCTGGCTAAAGCAGAATAGCCACAGAAAAGTAAAAGTGTAGTAACGTGTACGCACATGTAAATGTATTGCTGCGAACGCGTGCATGTGTTCGTGTGCGTGTCCAAATTCATAACAGACAATAAATCACTAAGTGTCAAATACCAATTGGATGTGGAAAATTTATCGAGATGCTGAATGTAAAACAAAGTAAACTATTTGCAAAGTGCTTCAACGCCTAAAAGCACGCAATCCGCCTGAAGATAAGCGTAAATGAAAATCTCAGTTATTTTTTTTTTTGTGTGCTATTGTTGAACTATCCATGCATGCTCATGGCCGCTGATGGTATGAACAAAGGCGTGTAAAACCTGTTATTATCCTGCTGTGTGCGTGTTGCGTTGCTATTAACGAGGCAGCATAAAGCACATCATCTAAGTGTACCGCACAGACCTTTTTCAGTGAATGCTGTCAGTGTTGTTGTTAGCATTGTAGTGGCACTGGTGTTGAAGTAATCTAAGTTAGTGTAGTTTTTGTACTCGCATTTGCCGTGGTGCAGTTAATGCCATACACCAATCTCACAAACATACACATGCACTAAGAGGAAACAACAATAACAAAGATCTGAAAAAGTGTTTACTGCGTCGAGCAAAAACTATTTGTAATAGCAGTAAGGAAATAGTTGGAATACGCTGCTAAACCTTTGATACACATCGCTTAGGCGGCGTGAAGCGGAAAGTAGAGTGAACAAAGTTAGTAAAGCAGAAGGTATAAAAAGCGATAATTAGTTTAAAAGCATGTTAAGAGTTTGCATTACAGTGGAAAAATGCAGCAAGCGGAATTAAAGCTCTAAAAGCATTACTCATGGTTTGAAGAAACACATTTAATTTAGAAAAATTAATTGAAAGCATATTTAAAGAGCTATATAGGGAGCTTTCGGGAGTGAATCAAGCAAACTTGGTTTTATTATCTACAAGTATATTGCTACCATATTTTTTTTCTTTTTTTTTTTTTTTTGTAGTACCAGAAGTTGGTTGATCTGCCAAGAAGTTCGTAATATCCAGAAAAACTTGTTGGAGACCGTATGAGCATACAAATACATAAGACGAGCTGGGACGTTTTATATATAACACAAAGCAACCTATCTAAATCACGTTCTTATATGGACACCTGTTTTTTTTTACAAGAAATCTTCAAAAATTTTGTACTAATTTTTATCCCAGGCATCACTAAACTCTCCGAACAAATTGTTTATCACTGTAGCGTTCAAAGTGACCGATCAGAGTCAAGATGATTTCCGAAACATTTTCTATCTGTAACAAACAACGTTATTTCGACTTAAACGTTCTTTTTATCATTCAACATGACTAAGAAGAACAAGACTTAACAGACAACTTAAGCTGGTTAAGTTTTGAATTCAGTTATACATATAGTGGCTATAAGAAAAGCACCTACGAACCTTCATACTAGGGTATAATAGCAGCGTTGAAGCCAAACTTAAAGTGTTTCTTGAATAACAATTGATTGCCTAATTTTAGGCGTAGACTTGAGTAAAGTGAATAATAATTTATAGAACCAAATCGGCTTTAGTGTTATATAATAGTAATATTTGTTATAGATAGTTTTTTCCATATAAAAAAGTATATTTTCATATAAAAAAATCTATGCAGTCAATTGCTCCAGGAGCGCAAAAACTGGCACCAAGCCCTTGACTCTGTTGTTTTTATTTTTATAACTTATATTACACTCCAAATATTGTAAGCAAACTTGTTACTGGTGTACAAGGTCGAAATGGAGAATTATAATCATTTCTTTGTATTAACAATATTATTAAATTTCTCAATCTGCCTCAAACAAAAAAATCTAAAATTTCTCCCTCCCACCTACAGGACGGAATAAAAAATAATTATGACCATACGGTTTTATAAACCAACACCCGCAGTTATGGAAAACTTTGTCAATGATAACAATAACAATAAATTCGAGCTGTAAACAAATCCAGGTTATGTAGAATAGCACCAAAGGTACTTAAAAACGTGAAAGCTGAATGAAAATAATTTGTAGAATGATCGAGAAATCGCAAGCCGGGCATCACAATGTGTATGTGCAAATGTATACTTGTACAACAGCTCATAGTTATAAAATTCATCAAAAAAATAGCAAGAACTAAGCTGCGCTCAAGGCCATGTAATCTTATGTAAATTGTTTATTTATATGCGAAGCCAGCAGCTAACGAGGTTGGTTTGGCGGCAGATGCCGTGCAATAGCAGCTGCTAGGCGTAAGAGAAAATTAGCCTGCATTTATGTGTGAACTTGCACTATGCAAGCGTTTAAGTATACCGAAATCTTCGCTGGATCACAAACAGACGCGGCAACGAGTAGCACAGCTTACTGCATGGCATATGAACACATTTATAATCATTTCCGTTTAAATAATTATTCGCACACACGTGCAGTATGAATGCAAAAAGTTGGAACAAACCCAAATTATTTATGCGTTCTGGCATCAAAAACGGCTTTCCACTTAAAAGGACATTCCTACCGGTACAAAGTGAAGTCACCGTTAGTAAAGTAGTACAAAAAGCAGTTTAATAATGAATAATGAATCTAGCATATTTTTTCTGGTTTTTGGCATACTAATTTCTGGTTGGTAATTAATGGCCACCAATTGACGCATTTCTTTTTATGTGGAATAGAATATCATTAAAACATTTCTATTTATCTCAGCAAATAAACAAAAGCAAACTGCCAATGAAATATATTATCAATATAAATAATATATCCCACTTGTAACTTTTGGTAGAATTTTTCCTATGTCTCATCTAATATTTGTGGTGATATACCACCATATAGCAAATTTTTTTCTATAAAACAATTATTTGCTTATCAATCGGTCATATAGTCCGAAAGTAAGAAGAAGTTTATTTAAATTGGCTGTCATAATTATCAAGCAAAGCAGACAGCACATTCGTTCAATTTGTATTACTGCTGTATGCATTAGTGCTCCGATATCAACAGTTAAAGCAAATGAGCAGTTTCTTTTGAAGGACAGGATGCCTCTAATTTATCAGATCTTTATATCAAAAACTGAGGGAGCAATTTGCGTATATTCAGCCCGACGGAAGTGGTCAGTCTTTGCTTTTCATTTATATATGTATTTTTGAGCTTCTCCATCGCGATAATCCGGGGTATCACAAACTTTGTGGTACACTTAATGCACATTGTTCATTGTTTAAATATACATATCATCACCTAGAATACAAAATAACGTGACATCACTTTTCATAGGTTAACACGCGAAGTAAAAACTATATAGAACTCATAAAGAAACAAAATTTGAGAGTTGGTTATAAAATGGTTATATTTGACAGCGCAAAGTTGTGGTGAATCGTAAGCAATAAAAAGCTCAATTTCGTTTTTTTAATGATACAGTTTAATTATTCAAATTTAGGTTCATATTTTGTGACCAAACAATGGATGTTATTCAACTAATGCTTAACTGCTATTTAAAAAGTACAGAAAATTTAATAAATTATACTCAAAACTATTACAAATCAATGAATATGCTAAGAACTAATATATATTCGAAACCATTTCAGATAGAAATATCTGAAGATGGGAAGTGAAAAAGAGTTGACTCAACTGGCCAACCAGTTTTCTAGACTGCACTCAGTTTCATGCATAAAACAAGTACAAAATGTTTGTTTAAGCAATGAATTTGCAGGCTGAAATAGAATATGACACACCCTGTATTTCGCTTAACAATTGACACGCATATTATTGGTGTATTGGGTGGAGAGATTTTTTTTTTTAATTAAAAATATTTATTCTAAATAATTATTTTAATGTCATTCTACCCTAACAAATGAATATTATTATATAATGTAATGAAAGGAGGTCAACAAAAATACGAAATACAAAAATTATAAAGATTACAGCTAAAAAAAGTTAAAGCTTATATAGATATAGCTTTATAGATCTCTTCTGTTTCTTCAAATTCGCTTAGTAAAGAGATAGTAATGATAAGAAAAAAACAGTTTACACTTCGCGTCATCTTCTTTTTCATTTCTTGAGGCATAAACAAAAGTAAAACAGTCAAAAAGTTATGTTCGTACAGTACTTGTAAGTTTTCAGAAAGGCTTATATTTTATTACAAATATAAATTAATGCTGGCGATTTGAAGAATGTAAGACCTTGAAGCAGGCGGTGAAGAGTGAAAAATAATACCAAACCTACTTTAAAGGTTTTGTTGACATTACCAGATACAGATGTAGGTAAACAACAACAAACATGTACTGCAAACCAACAACAGCCAATTATACAAGAACCTTCTAATAAATTATTCATAAATTAAGAAAAGAATAGTTACATAAGCCCTACTGTAAAAAAGGAAATACAATTTAAAAATAAGTGCGAAAATGAATGAATGAATATTTTCCAAATTGAACCATCAGTGAATGCTCACCATAAGCAAGCAAATATACAAATATTGTATGCAAACCATACTTGAAGAAACATCGGCTGCATAATTTAAATTTCCTCAACTTTCCCGCCAACTCAACGGCTGTAAGCGTCACAGCCTCAGCATGGATATCGAGCAGCTCTTGTACTGTTTCATTCTTCTAATCGCGGGTAAGTCGCTGCTTTTGTACACGATTACAATATCTCCTTTTGGTTGTGTCCTTTATTTTTTGTTGCTGCTGTCATTTTTAATTAAACACAAATGATATTGCATACATTTGAAATTCTTGGCATTTTTATTTTATTGCCTCTTTCAATACCAATTTGAAACAGATTCTCTGTGCCTTTTTCTTCGGGCTGTTGAAATTCTTATGATTCGGATTTATGTAGCAATGTCCGTGGGATTACAGAGGATATTTTATGGGGCTTTAGTGAGATTATGCGCGCAAGCAACAAAAAAAAAATCACACACGAACACTTCAACAAAGCAGTCGCATGTAAATGAGCGTTTTTTTTTTGTTGCTTTGTGTAATCTTAGTCGTAAACAAAAAGTATAAATAAATAAAACAATGAAAGCAGTACAGTGAGGATAGTCAGTATAAGCTTTTTTGTTTTCTACTTCTGCATGGAACACACTCGCCTATTTATGTATTTATTAGGGTGATCCTTATTTACCAAGTAGTTTTGCTTTTGTTGAAGTTTCAGTTTTTGTCCTAACAAAAATTACCAATATATATTTATTTTCTTTTAATCATTGACTAACTTTTACTTCTTTTCCAATGGATATAAAATGCCATTTTTTTATATTTTGCATTAAGCAAATAAACCTACAACCTTCGAATTGATATTCCAAAAGAAGTTTTCCGCTCTTCGGAAAAATAATTATATTCTGCATAAAAGCATTATTTTAAGAGTTACAATCCGTCAAAGTTATGCAGAAAATTTACTGACCATCCATAAGTGATTTATACATTTTATGTTGCTCATACGACATGGTGAACTATGTGAATACATTACTGTTAATATTATTTATTTCTAATTGTCTACAACTTTTATAGGAATATTTTTATGAATAAAATTATTAATTATTTTTTGTTGTAGTAGAGTATAATTACTTTAAAAATATAGATTTATCTGCTTTGGAGTTAAAAAGTGTTTTGCAGGGGATCACAGATCCCATCTTTGTATATGTAAAGAAATATGATTTAGCCAAGGTTTAAGTTAAGTGTCGGATAATTCTTTTTAGGAACAATAACTGAAATCTTTGATATACTTCTGCATAAAAAAGACAACTTGGGGAATAACGGACACCCTATTATGCATATGTATAATAATACTTCAATGAGGGCAATTACTGTAAGGGTACAGAATATAAAAACAATAAAATGCATAAGGCGAGAGAGCAAACTGGAACATTTTATTTTCTGTTATTTAGACGTATTCTTTAAAAAGTTGATTTTCAAGCTGATACTTTTCAAGCTTTTCACCGTAATTTAAAACATATACGGTCAATTTTGATTTGTTATTAGATATACCAATGTACATTTTGAAGAGAGATCAGGGAAAATAATGATTCATCCATCGTTATAAAAGTTCGCTATTGGCTCAGTTAATTTAGGTTGCGTTGTCATGAGAGCCTAATACTTGGAAGACCATTGTAAGAAGCTTACCAAGATGGCTTAGGTTTTATAATTTGGAAGGCAGCGTAAGCTTTTGATAGTAAGGATGCTTCAAAATGTGTACTATGTGTACTTGTACGTTAAAGGCGGATAAGTTTGCGAATAAAGCGCCGAATGGAACGTATAAGTATGCCAAAACAAATATGCTGCGCCAGTAAACAAAAGTCAGCTGTTCTCCCTAATCGCCAACGTCAAATGTCAATTGAATTTGCCTTCCATATACGAGTATATATATGTTCATTCTACTCAGCTGTCAGTTGCATGCATTTCTAGTACGGAACCAACGTACTTATTCTGACTATATCTTGTGCTAGAGATTTGTCTTGTTTCGTGATATATTAAGAGTTTATCACAACATTCACTAGTTTGTTTTTAACATACTTAGTCAAAATAGCATTCTGGTCATGTGTGAATATTTTATTAGAACACTTCGAAATGCAAGCTCTTTCTGTTAGTGGATTTTTTGCCAATCTCGAAGGTAATAATGTATCACTATAAATTTTCAATGCCCTTAGAAACTATACATACATTTCAGTCCGTCACAAAAAATTTCAATGTTATTCCAGAAAGAATGCGCAGAAAATTGGTGATCCAGCTTATGGCAAGTACCTAAAAGAAAGTAGAAATCGGCAAGATCGTTAATTATGTGAGAATTGGTATTTGTCAAAAAAGTCTTGCGGTATTTTTACGGTATTTTTGCGGTATTTTTGCGGTATTTTTACTGAATTTTCAATTGTTCATAAAATTTTTTTTGATGACTCATGCCAAGCTCTTAACCGATGCTACGGCTGCTACTATGCCGGTCTCTTTCGACCAATTCAGCGATTTTATCGCAATTTTCGACCACCTCTACACCAGAACGAAACCGTTGAAACCATCGTTGTGCGGTGGAAATGGAAACTGTATCGGGTCCATAAACTGCACAAATTTTATTGGCGGCTTGAGATGCATTTTTGCCTTATCGTAGTAGTACTGGAAAATATGCAGTATTTTCCCTTAATTTTGCTCCATGTTTGCGACGCTATATAAAAGGTATAGCATGACCCGATGCAACGAATAAAACTAGAACTATGCGCTTTCAGCGCCAACTAGCGAAAACAACGCAAGACTTTTTTGACAACCAATATAATGTAGATACTTATAGAGTGCATTAGAAGCTTTGGCTATAGCCAGTTTAAAGTTAGCACTGGCTATGAGTCAGGTGATCATTTTAATTTCAAAAGGGTTCCCATAACTATATTTTTTAACTAAAAATAGTCTGCGACAGTATCCAACTTCTCCAGTGCAAGAACAGCTCAAAAATACCAATATTTGGATTCGTGGCGAGAACTGGAAAAATATTTATTTTTGACATTTAAAAAAAAAAAATTCAATTATCATTTCAAAGAATGAAATAACTAAAAGACTTTTTGTGCTAGATATGTGTACATTATATGAAAAAGGTTTCTATAAGTGAATGTTTAGTAACGAGGAAAAGTGTATTAACGCTAATTTTCGATACAAAATTTTTTTCACCAAATAGTTCTTGAAAAAGTTGTATACTTTGTTTTCGCTTTGTAAAGTAAAGTAAAGTGTAAAATATTCTCATCCATGTCATTCTACATTACACCTCTATATTTTAAATACATACGTAAGTTTACGTGAGACCTTCGTAGGATATCGTGGTTGCAAAACTGTATGTAAATTACGGTATTCCTAAGCATCATGAAAACGGCAACAACATCCATCCAAATGAATCTTTTCAACAACTTCTTCTATATACATTTAACGGTTAATCAAAATAGTGCGAGCGGTTAGATATTTGTTTTTTGCATATTATTTATGCCATGTTTACTACATTAACTCTACATTTTTTCGCGCTCAGTTTATGTATCTGCAACTCCTCGAATGGCATGTAAATACCATGGCTGTTGACTTTAAATTTTAAAATTACGAAACATTAACCTTAACTAACTGGATATTAAAAAAACTTTAATTGATTTGGAAACATTTAATTACTTTTTGATAATATTAAACTGAGGACTCACTCTGGTCGCATTTATTTTATACGACGTCATTTAAGCTTTCCCTCCATATTTAGAACCCTGAATTGTCCCTGTCCCTGGATTTTATATTCAAGAAGTGCCACAATGTACTTTTAATTACGGTTGTAAAAACTTTTGGGCTTACACGAAAGCAACAAGGGTTAGGAAATAAGCAAAAATACCTATGAGTAACCAAAAATGTTTAGTTTATCAAAGAAACTATCAATTAATTTTAATTAATAGTTGAGCACATATTACACAATAAATCAATAAAGTTTTCCATATATACACACACACATCGAAATTAGTTAGAACTGCTTAAAATCTACTTTACTGGTGTGTGCGTAAAAGTTGCGTATACGCCATAGTGTACTTAGTACTGGGTTAGATGTTATAGCAATATATATAAAATAATGACAATGGAATATTTCCGTCAGTTTTTTTCACATATTAGTAGATATTTAAATATTTAATATTAAAAAAAGTACACTTATTTAAGTTCAGCTGTTCGTCGGAAGAGTGTTTCGAACATTAAACACAATCCTCAAATAAATTTTCCTACCCAATTATGCAAAAACTGTTGGAAATCGGAGAAATTGGAAGTTTTCACAGAGTTATTATCTATAGCATAACTCATGTTTTGCAATAATCTTATATATGTGTGGGATGACAAAATGAGGTATATAAACTTGTACAGGTTTATGTGTGTAGGTTGAGTGAAAATTATTGCCTTTGATGCACAAATAGATAAATAAATTTCATTGAAACATTTTTATTTATTTATAAATGTGGAAAAAAAATAATACAATTATTTTATTTACACGAAAAAAAATGAGCACTGGCTGCCAGGACCTTCGGCTCTCATTGAAACATAATTTAAACCAATTATTTCTTCAGTGAAAAGAAGCGTGCTTAATAGGCTATTAACATTGTTCTAACTTAGTAAATATTATAATCTTATATAAATGAACATGATGGGTATATGAAAAGCGCCATCTACGATTGTCAAGCAAAATATATACTATCTGCCAAATTACACATACACACTCACTCTGCAAAAAGATCCTAGGTGTGAAGCAATAAGAAGAACACATGTGCTCTAATAAAAAATAGAGATAAAAAAGAAATTAAATTGTATTTTATTATATAAACCTTACCATTTCAACGGACATTTTTTTTAAATTATGGACAAGTTCGACTTTAACAATGAGCGGAAGTTGACATGCAATTTTAAAAAGTTAAATTGTTTTATTTAAAATATTCGGATTAAAATCCATCATATAACGATTCGAAAAGAAATCCAGTACTATGACACATAAAGTTATACAATACACCCTAGGAAATTCATTCTTCGTACATATATTTAGAAATGTCATTTCGGATATTTTGTTTCAAAGAATTTAAATACTCTTACACCCCGATTCTGTGCACTTGACAAATTCAATATATCTCTAATTTGTCAAAGTTT